GGGAGGAATATATCGGGTCACACTCAGACAACAGCAAAGTCTGCAATTACAACGGGCAGCGTATTTTAGAACTTTGTGCAGAGCATGGCCTTTATGTCACCAATAGTTTCTATCAGCATCGACAAAGCCAAATAAACACCTGGTATAAATGGAACAACCCAGACCAGGCCGCACAGTTGGACTACATACTAAATCGACAAAAGAGAAGAAGCTTAGTAAAAGACGCAAGAGTAATTCCTAACATCTCTTTAAATACAGACCATCGACCGCTGATCGTATATCTAAGCGAAGCAACAATTAACAAAAAACCAAAAACATCAGTACGTACCTCAATGATTGACATAAGACACCTAAGCAATCTAGACAACCAAGCAAAAGTACAGGCAGAAATGACGGCGAAGATGGCTGAGCTAATAACATCAAGTGACAATGCGTGGCAAAAATTTAAGAACTCTCATCTGAACTGCCTAACAACACTCTGTGGTATTAGATACACAGCAGGAGGAACGTTCAGGAAAAAAATGGCATGGTGGAATGATAACGTAAAACAAGCAGTGAAATGTAAAAAGGAGCAATACAAGAAATGGCTAAGATCCCACTCAGATGACGACTATATCAAGTACAGAATTGCCAGGCTACAATCTGCAAGAGAAATTAAACAATCCAAGGAAACATCCTGGATCATGTATGGGGAAAATCTTACCAAAATCTGTGCTAAATCTAGTAGACAGTTTTACAAAACCATTGCAAAAATGAGAACTAGAGATGAACCATTCCAGCCATCTGAATATGTCAATGATAGTCAAGGCAAACCCATACATGAGGAGGGCAAGATCAGAGAAAGGTGGAAAGAATATTTTCAGACTCTTCTGAATGTAACAGGAAATGAGGAAACAGTACCGTTCACACCCAGATGTACAAACGAGGAACAGCCTACAATAATCGAACAAGAAGTCAGAGAAGCAATCAGGTGCAATCCCCAAAATAAGGCATCAGGTGTTGATGGAATATCAGCCGAGGCAATACAGGCTTGTGGAGAAATTGGAGTCACCTGGCTACTCCACATATTTAGGAAAGCCTGGAATGAAAGAACTGTACCAATAGACTGGCAAAGAGCCCTTATAGTCCCAATTTGGAAAAGAAAAGGCAATAAGCAAGATTGTAACAATTACAGAGGCATCTCCCTTCTAAACCACGTAGGAAAAATGTTTGCCTAAATTCTGGAACAACGAATTAGATCCGTTGTAGAACCGATCCTGAGCCCATCACAGGTCGGATTTAGGAAAGTAAGAGGGTGTACTGACGCTATTTTTACTTTATGACAAGTTAGCGAAAAGACAATAGAACACAGACATCAAATGAACATTGCTTTCATAGATCAAGAAAAAGCTTTCGATAGAGTAAACAGAAATTTATTATGGAAAGTTCTTCAAAACTACGGTGTAAATTGAACAATTTTAGATTGTGTTAGGGCTATTTATAGACAAAGTGAAAGCGCCATTAGAACAAGAGCTGGCATCACAGACTGGTTCCCAGTAACATCAGGAGTAAGACAAGGTTGTGTATTATCACCTTTACTTTTCATAATATTTATGGACAATATTAATAAAATAGACATAACACCAACAGATGTCGATAAACAGGAGGACTTCAATGAGCTGCTCTTTGCCGACGATCAATGCCTATTCCACAGTGATAGTAAACAGCTGCAAGACCACATAAACCTACTACATGACAGTTGCCTCAAGCATCATATGAAGATCAATACTGAAAAGACAGAAGTCATGAGCATAAGTAGAGAGCAACAGACCATCGGCATAAAGATTCTAGATCACAGCCTAAAACAAGTGCAAGAATTTAAATACTTGGGAATTATCTTTACATTCAATGGTAAAATAGACAGAGAGATCGAAGCAAGAATCCAACAAGCCAACAATGTCGCATACCAGCTTGCCCCAATTTTAAAACACCCTGCTGTCCCAGCTGAGATAAAAAGACAAATTATAAATACAATCTTTATACCGACAATGTCAGACTTGAACATTAACAAAAGTACACGAGAGAAGACTAACCACCTGTGAAATTAGATGTTTGAGAATGGCTGCGAATAAAACCAGAAGAGATCGAGTGAGACACGATGTGATTACAAGAACTATTTAAACCATACCCATCGTTAAATTTATTGAGAAGCAAAGAATGAAATGGTTTGGTCACCCAATGAGAATGGAACCAACGATGCCAGCATCAAGAGCATGCAACATGAAAATCGAAACACCAAGAGGCAGGGGAAGACCAAGAAGAAGATGGATTAAAGGAGTCACGGACAACTTGAGACTTCATAACATCACGGCAGATGAAGCGACTGAGCGCGCCCTGGCTCGGTTGCCGATCATCTGATAGACTGCGACGCCTAGCGCCACAAGCAGATTTTGACAAAAGAAAGAAGAAGAGAATATGTACAGTTGCAATTCTATTTAATGTAATATCACAGGCATTTAATTATAGATTAAGAATAGATTAAGAACACATTCTCTCAGGAAAACTATCTCCAAACTGTTTGTTTGCCAAGCTGCGGAGTCTATTGTAAAAAAAAAAAAAAAAGCAAAGGACCCTTTTACACGCCTTCAGGCGTATAGGGCATACGGGGCATATAGGGCATATAGGGCATATTGGGCTAGACCTATATTTTATAGACCAATCAGCACAAGATGGGTGATGTGGTCAGTATCACGCCAGCTGCACCCGGTACACACTCAAGGCTAGGTCGACCTGGAAGCCAAGGTCATTTTGGAATCTATTGACTTCCTCTTTTTAAACCCGTTTTTCCATATACTCAAGAGGAGTTTAGAGGTCTTGCCATAACTAAAGGAGCTTTGGGGTCTTGCCATATACTCAAGGGGTGGCACGGGGTCTTGCCATATACTCAAGATGGGGGTGGAAGGGGGGGGGGGGCGACCTGAAAAGGTTCAGACACTACTGCTATAACCAGTTGTTCTACTGTGAAGCCTCGCTCTGTCTTTAGATTAACACTCGGCTGCTTTTCTTCTCTGCATTATCCGGACTGGGAGTCGCTTCGATTGTCGCCCCATACTGCAGCATGTATCCTCTGATGATCTTCATTGAAGTAATAATTGGCTTCTTTGCTGGAACCATTGAAGTCTGTAAGTGGATTGCTAACAATGTTGCTCTGAATGTTTTATTGTTTTATTATATGGTGTTTTCATATTTTTCAAAAGGCTTTATGCTATCAATACTAAACATGGACAACGAATAGGGCACTACAACAGAAAATAACTACCTGTGAAATGCGATGTCTCAGGTAAAGTCACTAGCAACACAACAAGGGCTAGGGTAAGAATACCAGCATTAGAGAGAAAGTTGGTTTAAGACCCTGTCTGAATTGTATTGAGAGACAGTGAATGAAACGGTTCGACCATCAAGTAAGAATGTAGCCAAATCAAACTTCATGTGAGACATTTTACAGCATAACATCTGGGAGGAAGGCGAAGGGAAAACCAAAAAAGAGATGGATAAATGATGTAACTGAAAGTTGTAACAAGATAAACAAATTCTCCAATAAAGCCATCAGAGAAGCGCAAGACAAATACAGAAAACCACGGCAATGGGCTATAACCTGCTGTGAGTGAAACGACAAAAAGGAGAAAGAATATTTTTTGTAAGAAAAGTAAAAGAGGCCAGCGCGGAAGTGCATTGGCTAGAAGCTCGTCTGCTGGTCTAAAGGACTTGGGTTCCAAATTACGATCGGCGGATTTGCAGGCAGGGAGAGGAGCTGGTGGTGGGGGTGGGGGGGGGTGGGGGGGGGGTAGTCACCTTGTCTCCTAGGTCGACCGAGGCTAAAATGGGTGACAGGCAATGCTCTGGTAAGTAAAGACGACCAGCATGATGTTGACTACAACAGACTAGGAAAATATAGTCTAGCATCATATGCCCACTACGCTAATGACTTAAGAAGGACAGCTTACTTACTTTATTTCTTTCACAATAATATTTAAAGATGATTAAAAATAAAAATAAAAATTAGTTGTAAAACTTTCTCATTAAAAAAAAAAAAAAGTGAAGGTCCCTTTTCCACGCCTTTAGGGGTATTGAGAATAGGAGCTAGACCTATAGTTTATAGACCAGTCGGCACTTGGTCGGTGATGTGGTTAGCATCACGCTGGCCACCTTTACTTCCTAGGACTGCACCCGGTACCCATAAAAGGCTGGGCCGACCTGAGAGTCAAGGTCATTTTTAAAAAGTCCGGTTCCTTAAGGACGCGAACCGATCCGCAGGCTGGCGTCTAGCTGCCATAACAGTCTGATAAAGGTTCATTGGCTCTATTTTATTTGATAAGCGATTTTACATAAGGTAGTTTTCTGTATCTTTTTTGACTGTACGGCGCTTATGCCATGATCACAATCGACGCAAAGCATTCTGCCGTCTAATCACTGCAACTGTTTACGAACCTTGATAAATCAGAGTGTCACACTGAATATATATATATATATATATATATATATATATATATATATATATATATATATATATATATATATATATATATATATATATATATATATATATATATATATATATATATATATATATATATATATAGGTAAGTAAACATTTGTCTTTTCAAAAATACAAATAGCATTCTTTTAAACAAAAAGCGTTCAATTTTACTCATCGCTATGGTGATCATGAATTAAACTGAGCATTTTATGGTTTAAGTATCGACCTCATAACATACTGGACACATTTATAGTTGCTGCTTCTTTAGCAGCAAATATTTTCGTCTTACGAGATCCACACTAAATTGCAAATGCACACAACTATATATATATGCTACTCATATTTCTACCTCGAGCAGACAGTTTATCTACATTAGTCTATGTAATTTAGACGTGATGATGGTTGGTATAAAGATCACCAAGATCAAAATATATAAAACGTTGATAAGACCAGTCGTTTCATATGGCTCTGAAACTTGGAGCACAGCTAAAAGAGATGAAGCATTATTACAGGCTTTCGAAAACAGAGTAATACGACGAATCTTTGGACCTATCAAAGATACAAACAGCGGGGAATGGAAAGTGAGAAGGAATAACGAAATTCATATTCTGTTTAAATCATCACTGATCACTGGCATAATGAGAGCTAATAGACTGATATGGTTGGGGCATATTGAAAGAATGTCAGATGACAGAGAAGTAAAAACTGTATACACCAGGGAGATGAATGGTCGTAGACCACGAGGCAGACTAAGAAGACTATGGAGAGATAATATCCAGACAGACCTGCAAACACTTGGTGTTACCAACTGGAAAGAGAAGGCCAACCAGAGAGATGAATGAAGGCGGCTGATATCTGCAGCAATGAACCTCAAGGGCTCGGAATGCTGAAGAAGAAGCAGATGGTTGGTATCAAATCTAGCCACAGTTGTCTATTCTGAACCATTCGCAATGCCGATTAAGAATTAGACACTATGATTTAACAGGTAAACTTTCCCGTCCAATTCAGAGCTGCTAGTGTAGTTTTGTATACCGGTGTATGTTAGTGAATTAATTATATCTTTAAGATCAACCAAGAGAAAAGCGCTTAATTCGTCAACAGTACGTCATGTGCTAAACTGCGGATGCCTGACTGGGAGGGATGGTTCTCTCTGAGCAATTTATCACAAGTGAACAGACGTTTATTAAAACTAGCGAAAGCGGTGGCAATGAGGATGGCCATTTTGTGTTTTATAAACTAAACAGATGATGTGATTAATCTTAGACACCCACAATGAGATGTTCTGTATAACTAGAGAATACTTGATTTGTGTTTTATCGGTTAAAATGATTAATTTTTTAGGTTGATTCGTTGTATGTTGTTGTCAAATGTAGTAACGCATTTGCCGAGATATAGTAAAATTTAAAAGTCAATTGCGTATCCTTAACAGGACGTTGTAGAATCAACACTAGTATTTTTTGGCTGTTGTGGTTTTTCTAGAAAAAGTTTACGTTCAGTAGTTTGCCATTGTCTTTTGCTAATAGCCTTCAGCTGTGATCAAACCCAGCATTAAGAAGCGCGTTCGCAACGCCTAAGCCACATACGCACTGCGAAATATATCAAACACTAACTTGTGCTTTCATTTGTTAAATTTACAATAGGAAAACTTATATTTTGAACAAACTACTATGTCAAAATGAATTTATATTTCAAAGTAGAATTATATTGTCATAAAATTCGTCCTTTAGTAACAGCGAATAGTCTACTTTTGTAGAACTGAAGACGTGTTTGTACACATAAAAATTAAACTGAAAATATACTCACTTTTTAAGTCATTCAAGATTTTTTATTTTACTATCCTTTTGTGGGATGCAATTTTTAGTTATTTTGAAGTCCCACTCTGGCTTTTGCCGGGAGCCTTAAATTAGCCGGGCCTGAAATATGGCCTAACGGCTGAACGGGGTTTCCGTGACCTCTGCACGGGTGATCCTCACCCGCATGGTGGCACTTTGCGTCATCGGGTGTTTATCGCTAGTAATATGTCCTGGTGGAGTACAACTTACATACATCGATACATACATACTCATTTGTTCTGTTCTTCTAAAAAAAGCATTCTTTGCAAACAGTGGTGAAATTTATAAGGCTCAAAGCATTGTTTTAAACAAATTACTTTTATATGACTAGGTGAATGTAAGTGACATAATTCTATTTTATATTTCAGCTGGAAACACCTGGCATATGAGCATATGGGGAAGTGAAGGGAACGTCTTGATGCAGATTTTACAATTTTCATTTGCCTTTGGTGGAGTGTTAGCTCCCTTGTACACAGAACCTTTTCTTGCCAAACGAAAAATACAAAATGAAACTGACACAGACAATGTGACAACTGGAAACCTTTCCGACTTATATCTTCTTCCTGATTCTCGATCAACAGACGTGCACTACGCGTATCTGATAACGGGTTTGTTCATGATCTGTGCAAGTATACCGTTTCTTGTTTTGTTTTTCAAGCAGCGTTCGCCAAACACCCAAAGCATTGGGAAACAAAATGACAATACGATAGTTACTTACAGGAAACTTCCACTATGTTTGCACATATTTATACTCATGACTATTTGTCTGTTTTTCTTGCTGTATTGCTGCATTGAGACGTCGTTTTCATCTTTTCTGATGGCTTTTCTTATCAATGAGTTTGAGTCGATGACAAAATCAGAAGGTGTATACATAACTACTATATACTGGATGTCATTCGCAATATCCCGTTTTATTATGATCTTTATATCAAAACTGTTATCGTCAGTGCAGCTGTTATCCCTATGTATACTGCTGATGAGTGTAGCATTTGTTGGCTTTTTTATTAGTGTAGTATTTGAAGTAGTTGTGGCTGTCGGTGTGTTCACGGCCCTGGCAGGTCTGGGCATGTCAGGAGTCTACGCTGCAGGGTTTTCGTGGACAGAAACGGAGTTACTCAAAGTCACATCTCGAGTATCTGCAAGTATTGGCATTATTGCGGCCATCGGATCTATTGTTATTCCTTTAATTATAGGGTTTCTAATGGATGAAGTTAGCAACATGTGGTTCTGTTATTTATTACTTGGTCAAACAGTTGTTATGTTTCTCATTTTTATTTTTCTATTCTTTTTTATAAGACGTTTTATAATCATTGTGTATGGCCCGATGAGCTTGTTAGAACATTGCGTAGAAAACGACAGCAAACAGTTGGGGACAGAACTTTCAAAAGATGACTATAAGACAATAAAGAATATCTAATTAACTGAACACGCTTAAAGGAAACAAACACATTGGATGTTGGAAAATAACTCGTTTGGAAGCTATACTTTAAAGAAATCTGTAAGTATGTCGTTCAACCCCAACAGGAGCGCACAACGAGCAACCAACACCCGGTGACACAAAGTGCCAGCATTCGGATGAGGATCACCCAAACACAAGTCCCAGAAACCCCGTTCAACCGCTAGGTTATATTTTAGCCCCTGACTACAGCCCGGGTAGGGCTTTATAATAACCCCAAAAATTGCGTCCCATAATGGAATGAGTGTTAGATGAAACAAATCTGCTTCTTCTTCGCCACTCTAATTCCCTTGAGAATCATGGCGATCACATGACCCCATTCACCTCTTTGATTCACCTTCTCTTTTCATTTGGTTGGTCTAAGTGTTTGATGTCTACCTGTACATTATCTCCCCACCCTCTTGTACGTCTACCTGTTCATTATCTCTCCACCCTCTTGTACGTCTACCTGTTCATTATCTCTCCACCCTCTTGTACATCTACCTGTTCATTATCTCTCCACCTCTTGTATATCTACCTGCACATTATCTCTCCACCCTCTTGTATGTCTACCTGTACATTATCTCTCCACCCTCTTGTATATCTGCCTGTTCATTATCTCCCCACCCTCTTGTATGCTTACCTGTTCATTAACTCTCCACCCTCTAGTATGTTTACCTGTACATTATATCTCCGCCCTCTTGTATGTCTACCTGTTCATTATCTCTCCACCCTCTTGTATGTCTGACTGTGCATTATCCCCCCACCCTCCTGTATGTCTACCTGTTCATTAACTCTCCACCCTCTTGTATGTTTACCTGTACATTATATCTCCGCCCTCTTGTATGTCTACATGTTCATTATCTCTCCACCCTCTTGTATGTCTGGCTGTGTATTATCCCCCCACCCTCCTGTATGTCTACCTGTTCATTAACTCTCCACCCTCTTGTATGTTTACCTGTACATTATATCTCCGCCCTCTTGTATGTCTACATGTTCATTATCTCTGCACCCTCTTGTATGTCTGACTGTGCATTATCTCTTCTTGTTCTGCCTTTGCTTGGTTCCTCCCAATCAACTCTTCAGTGTACGCCTCTCTGTTATCTTCCATTCTCTCTACATGTACTCACCACAGCAGTCTTTAACATTGAATAAAAAACACTATTGGATTAAAATAGATATATTCTGCTACTGATGAGTGAGTTGGTGAGTGAGTGAGTGAGTGAGTGAGTGAGTGAGTGAGTGAGTGAGTGAGTGAGTGAGTGAGTGAGTGAGTGAGTGACGTTAAACCCCACCAAACGATAATCATCCGGTGACACAAAGTGCCACTATTCCGATGAGAATTTCCCGAGCATGGATCCCAGAAACCTCGTTCAGTCGTTAGGTTACATGACGGTCCCCGATTCAATTCTCAACCACGTTCAACCACGAAGCTGCCAACAGTCTTCGGCAATATTTGTGGTCTTGTTTATTTCGTGGCTAAAATTCTGGGTATTTGAGCCGTCTCTGTGCTTAATGCTTTTTTCCTTCATTTCAGACCGCTCATTTCCTATCCTATTGCCAATTGTGTTCTTCTTGCCCTTTCAATTCTAATGTTTCCTCCTTGGTTTTAGCTCTTTCTGATTTTGTCAGGCGTATTTCGCAGGAGAGCGAGCTTTTTTGACATAACGTCCCGTGGACCACCATTTATAGTTTAAAAATTTTGATTATTTAACTGTTCCAAAAAGTACTGAAAACAGTTTCTGGGTTTAGATAGTTCCAAAATGTGAAAATATTCCGCGATACTAGAAGACAACATACGCATCACAAGCTCTAGCTACCGTAGCAAGTCTTGAGCCTGTCGCCTCCAATGGACGAAGGTCCTTCTCTGATGGAACAAGTCTACATCGACTCATGTCTAGATTTGACGTGACGCGTGGTTTAAATGTTTATGTTGTTGAGTAGGGATCTTCCTTTCAACACATTCCCTCCACCAGATTAACGGAACTAAAGTCTGAGCTATGTTGCTCTCAGACAAAGTCCTGGATATCCAAGAAAACAGCCATATTGGCTCGTTAAGTACATTAACATTAGCTGAACTTGGTACCCACAAGAGAAGGCAAGGAATTTTAGATGTCTATCATACTTAATGAATTATTAGACAGGGCAAGTGATTCCTCCGTCATCTACCTTCTCCCGGTGTTATTATAAATAATTAAAGAATTATTATATTATTAATTGAGCCCCCACCAAATGTAATTCTATCTATGTTTAGTTAAACAGGTAAGACTGAATACACTTGGAATTTAACAAACGATGTAGTATAAAACTTGACATACAGCTTTATTTTCTAACAATCAGTTAATTGACATACCCAGTTTGTTGTGTTTACACAAACAGTGACTAGCTAAAGTTATGATAGTAATGGGTTGTTTCAGCGCGAGAACAGCACCTGGGATTAGAGTGGTGTGATGAAGGTGATAAAGTATGAACAATTTATGAACATAACTCAAGTTTCATAGAACCTCTGACAGCCGTGAGCACTGTCAAGCTCTTCCTCCTCTTCCAGCTTCTTCTTCCTGCTTGTTTCTCCTTCTCGCCCCCACCTCGTTCTCCCCCTCGTTCCCAGCTGGCCGAGTCTAACACAATGTAGGCTACTTCATGGACTGATCGTCACATGGGCGCTGTAATCATGGAAACAAAACACATACGTGTAGTATCTTGACTTACACTAAGAATACATGTATCAATTAATACAACATATAATAATAGGATATAGTAATAAGATATAGCCCATCACTCCTCCTCATATTCCACATCCTCTCCAGTCTAGTCTGAAGGTCTTTTGTCTTACATGGGCGTCACATATCCTGCCTTCCCTCAAATGCTATGTCATGATAGTTGACTTTCTAAGTCTGTTGTCCGTCTTCACTCAGACTTCGAGTTGGCTGACATAGATATTACATGACCACGTGGAGCAGGTTATGTGCTGAAAACTCAAACATTATATATGTGCACGCTGTCCTGAATATTATCTTTCAGTGACAGTAAATACTGTACACCCATCATTCTCCCCCTGGGGTTATAAATCCCCTGTTTAGGTGAACACATTAAGTGAGCACATGGTGGGCACACAAAACGTAGCAGCATCCCTGCACATATTTGGGCATCATTTCCCACAGTCCCAACTCATATTTTGGCTGATCGTGAAAACAATATAATTACATTTCATTATAGCAAATGTCATTGTTCACATCTTATTTTATACACATGAAAACATACAATGAAAAACATGTGACACAAACATACAGGAAATAGGAATAGTTTAGCAGTTCCTTAACTTGAGATACTGAATACTCACACAGAACTATTTCAAGCAGAATGTGCAGACAAATTAGGAAAAGGTAGTATAGACTAAGCTTAACTCCCTAACCTAAGTATACAAGATTAATATTAATATTTTTCTCTCACCTGGGAACTTTTCCAGCAAATGCCAAACACGACTCAACCAGGGAGAAAGTACTTTTTAACGGTAGACCTGAGTCTGTGGCCTGCTGGCTGCGATTATGAGGGGAATCTACGATGCCCGCAGTATAAGTATTAATCTATTGTCCAAATTAAACTCCTCCCTTTCCTTAGTTTTTACCCAACCCTCAAGATGATGGCTTAAGCTCCTCCTCCGAAGTACCTATCAAATCACATTAGCTAACAAGTGGCCTGTCAGTCAATTATGGACTGACATCCCTAGAGCAAACATTCTTAAGTGCCCCAATCTAGTTTACCCCGAATTACACTGACGTGTTAAACTTTAAACTTCTCCTCGCCTCAATGTCTACAGTCCGCTCAATTCCCCTGTTCAAAAGGGCCCCACTCAGGCTGTGTTAGGAGATAACATTATGACACTGGCGTGAGAATCAAACCTACACCCCTAGTCTCATCAAAAGTCTGTTCAAAGCAGTCTGGTCAGGAGATAACATTTATGACATGGGCATGTGAAAGGGAATTCTCTAGCCCCGGTGTAATTGTGTAACATTACCCAAGACTGAGTCGCTTTGTCTGGACTAAGGACTGGAAACAATTTAAATCCGTGCGGTTTAAAGCAATATTAGGATAAAGCGCAGAGTAAATATAATTCTGTCTCTTTAGAACCAGAAGAACTTATTACAAGTACTAACTTCTGGAATCACTGAGATCGTCTCGTGACAGGCCCTCCGTTAAGTTGGTCGCAGCCACTAAGACCAATTTTACGATACTCAGTGATCCCCAAGAATGTTAGTACAACCTGTCATCTCCAGTATTGTTCCAGTATTCCTTGTGGAATCGTGATGTCCTGCATCGATATACAGTCACCAATTGTCCCTCATTCCAGGCTAAGTCCTTAGTCCTAGAATCATGTGGGTATTCTGAGCAGCCGCTCCGTAATATCCATTTATCTGGAGGTTTCTTCTCCCGCAGGATAAGAAATAATCTCCGTTTCAACAATGGGATTCCTCGACATCGTTGACTGACAGTCCCTGTCAATTTCCTCGCTTCGCCACGCCCTATGAGCATAGGGAGGGCCTGAAGTGCTCTCCGAAAAGGATGAGTTGTAGTCAGGTAGGATTTTCTTTTCCTACATCTACAGATCCTGAAAAAAAAACTGTCACTAATCTCCTCTCAAATTGAGGGATATAGTCACTCATCATGACAGCATGCCGTGAGTGCAACTGACCACTGCCGATTTCTTGAAGGAGTGTCCACTGGTTTCCTCCTCGGTGCATCCTTTCCCTTTTACAAATTGTCCGGGTGGAATTCTCTTTCATTAAGATCAGTCCAGAATCAGAGCACGAAATCAAGTCAGGGGGTACAGTCAAATCATTAGGAAACTCAGGGTTTCCTGCAGACAGTAAAGTGGCATTTCTTCGCAATGAAGTTTCCACTATCAGCTGAGATACTCCTGTCACTTCCTTCGAAGCGAAGAGTAATACAAGACCAGAATGTTGGGGTTCCCTACTATTTATGGC